TCTGAAAATTCTTTCTTGGTTGATCCTCCTATGCTCTGTTTGGGGGGATAGTGCAGCTCCGGGATTAGGGAGAGGGTGTTGGAAAAGGTGGTTAAACCACATCCTGTAAGCGTAAACTTGCTACCTTCACAGCAGTTCTCTGAAAGGCCACGTTTTGGATACTTGCTGCAGTGGAGTCCGCTGACAATATATAATTTGTTTAGTAAACAGGGAATGTAATTGAAATGTCCCTTTTGAGTTAATGAAAATATAAAACAGCTTTCCAGAGCAGACCGAGACCTCTAATTTAATTATCTGTGAGCCTCACAAATTAAAAGTATCCTTTCATCCATTCCTGGCAGCCTGAAGTAGATGAATAACTGAAATTCAAAGAAAAACCTTACAGAAAGGAGACCTGGCAGATGAAAGAGCAAAGGGCCAAACCATTTGTAAAAGGATTTATCTCCACTGAGATGCCCATTGTCTTTACGGCAACTAATTATATGTGAAAACTATTAAAGATTTGGAAGCTGTGATACCCATTAAAGGGCCAGGGGTCCCCATCGCCTGCGGGAAAAACAAGCTGGCTCCTCTTTGAAATATTGTTTGCTATGTATCAGAGGAGTTACTCTTTAAGGGTACATTGCAAGCAGAGCTCTAAGCACATGAGCAGTTGCCAGAAAGCCAGCAGGAGCAGCCGTAAGGTAGCGTTCAGCTTGCTATGTTGTTATTTGCAGTCAGTCCTTCAGACCACGTATTGGGCCCTAAAGCAAAGCCTGGAGCAATGCTGCCCCACCACTGCAAAGGCATCCAGAAGCAGACAGGGCTCAGGAGCATCCTTGGTGCAGTGGGGTCTGGTGTGTCCTAACTCTGCGTGATCTGTCTGCCTTCTGCATCGAAGCGCTTTTGCTCATGTCTTAGCCAAAGGCTGATGGACAAGTCTCCACACAGCTGCTGAAATAGAGCAGCCGTTCTTGCTCACTTTTTGTCCGCTTTCACATTTACGTCTGTTCTTGCTGGGTGTGTTACAGCAGCCTTTGCCACCCCAGCAGGCTGTGGTGTCCATCTGGAAACGCAGAGCATTTAGGCTGAGTTTGCAGAAGAAGCCTGTGGCTGATCAAGGAGTGAATACAGATGTCCTCTGGTGTCATCCCAGACCTGGCCATCACATTGTTATACAAAAAATTAGTTTTTATCCATGCCATACATTAAATATTTCCTGAATTTGGAAATGTAAACCGGAGAGGTGCATATGGGAAATAATGGGGTTTGAACTTCACAGGGTGAATATATGAGGAGCAAAGAGGTTTACGAGTAGCAAAAAGGATGCTTCACTGCACTCTTTTTTTTTTGTTTAGAATACATTCTCCCTTCTCAGGTTTGTACTTGAAGATTTTGACCTAGAGGCACAGTGTGTCTAGGAAAGAAAAAAAAACAAGTTTGCTTCTGGTATAAACATTTACAGCTTCTTTGACCTGACCTGGAATTTCACCTGGGAATATAGGCAGTGACCTCAGCTGAGATGAGCAGAGCATGGAGAGGAGGCACTGGTACCTGCTGCTTAGAGTTACCTGAACAGTGCCCAGAAGTGCAGCAAAAAATTTTCTGATTCATTTTTAGTGGTGGGAGGTTTGAGGAGTACTGATTTTTCTTTTCTGTTGTTCATCTAGATTTGATCCAACATTTGTGACTTTGAAAAAGGGTTGAATTTGAAGTTTTTTAGAGTGGATGGTGATTTTATTTGTCTGCAACACAGATCAATGCACACTGAATTGTACGTGTGCAGGTGGGAACTGAAGCGAAGAAGCTGCCACAAGTGCTAGAATTCTGCATAATTTTGTCTAAGAAGCTGGCCCTAACCATCATCTAAAATGGTGCCTCTAAAATGTATCTCAAATGATACTTAAATTTACTCTTAGAGAAGTATTTCATGTTATCTTTATATGTCAGATTTTAAAACCTTTAGAAGTTGAACAAATCCTTCACTTAGCTGCTCATGAGAAGCATGTTTTTTGCATTTGTTTTATAATTTGCTATTATACTCATGCTTGGTATGACACTTGCTTGATCTGGATTAATTTCCTTGCTGATTTGTTCTGAATGTGCCCTGTAGGCTAATGGTATATTACCAGCCTCTCTTCTTCCTTTGTAGAATTTTCTGTTACCACTTACGGGACAGCATGTTCTCTTTGACACCTTCCAGAAGTGCCAACTGCCTGTTGAACAGCATGGCATCAGCTGTTAAAGCCTGACCCAAGGCCCAGCAAAATCAGGGAACACTAACACAACTCCAGGTTTTTGAGGAAAGGCAGTATCTTTTATTAGATCAGCTGTTACAGTTGGAAAAACACAGACAAGCTTTCAGGCGCACAAATCCTTCTCCAGGTCTGAAATAGCAGCAGTGTTGCTTACACCAGCATTCCTTAGCAGTGAGACAGCTATGGTCCCAGCAAGGTTTAAAAAATGTGTTTTAAAGTGTGTGTATTGCGTGGCCTTTCTTACTGGGGAGGGTTCCTAGCAGGACACAGGCAAACTTCATTCTCCTCTCTCCCCTTCTCAGTATGCACCCTACAAACAGGGAATACGTCCTACAAGGAGAGGTAGTATAAGTTCACTTGTTCTTGAGAAAAAGTCTTCAGTACCTCATGACCGAGCCATGTCTTCTCCATAGTCAGGTTGCTATTGGGAGGGACTGGGGCAAAGCTGTGGGCTTTGCTCTGCAGGTGGTAACTGCAGGATCTGTGCTGGAAATTCTGGCTCCTAATGTTTATGGCCATCCAGCAAATAGTTGTGGGACCAGCTGGCAAAATGAGTCTTATTCCCTTTCTTGTGGCTGCTTTATAGGGAACAGTGTTTCCCAAAGTTTCTGGAGTCACAGTTCACTGACCAGCCACCTAATAGCAAAGCTGGCGACTGAAAACGCTGCACAGGCAGGATGGTTCTGCAGAAAAGCTGTGATCAGCTTCTCATAGTCTTTGGATGGCTTGTGGTCACAGAATTGAAAAATAAGAAGTAACAGCCCAGCACACTGCCTGCTTACTCCTCCAGATTATGGATCTGGACATCCTGCTTTTTCACTGTATGAGAGATTTCATATTTATCTTCCTCTTCTTTTCTGGAAATCTTCAAAAGTATGTACTAATTCTTTAACTTTTTAGTTAAACAATACAGACAGGTGTTCAAAAATTCAATGTTAACATTAAGGGTAACATTTAGTAAACATTAACATTAACTGTAACATTTATTTCTATATTCCCGCTCTAGGAACTGGGGTGTTAACTGTAGTTAATAACTGTGGTATTAAGAAGCTGAGGATGCTTTTTGTTCATGTGAATATTTCCAGGGTACACAGGCTGCAAGAACTCTGGATTTTGCCTTCTTTCTGGAGTGTATTAATAGGTGTGTTCATTATGTGGCTTCTCTATTCAGCCCTGTTTGAAAATGAAAGGTTGCTTTTCAAGAAACTGTCACCACAAGAAAATTGTAAATAAGTATTGATGCTTCTGAAGAGTGTAAAAGGATGAACTGTTTATGACTTTAAGTTGATTAACACACAGACATGAACAACCATTGAGTATGAACAACCAAGTAACTGTGTAAACAGGAATACAATTATTGGAAAAGCTTAATCCAGAAGGAAAAATACCTCTTAAAAACTATGCAAGCCAAAAATCTTAGTTTAAGATCTGCTTTGGACATTGGTGTTTTGGTGTGAAGCTATCTTGCAACTGTATTAAAAGTCCGTAAAAGTTTAGGAATATGTCGGACCCTGTCTTCATATAAAATACAAGTGTTTTAAATGTGGTTCTCAATCTGAATGCATCACTTAAGGTACATTGTACTTAAGGATCCGAATCACCATTCCTGGCTGGGCCACTCCATATGTTTCTCCAGCCAGTGATGTGCCCAGTGACACATGCCCATGGCAAGTAGGCTGGCATCGACCATAAAACAGTGTAGACAACTGCTTCTCTTTCCTGGAGAAGGTTTTAATGGAGGAGCTATGTAGACAACCAGATTCTGTGGTGAATCTCAGAATTTTTTTCATTCCTTTTAGTACCCAGTCAAGATGTTTGGGTTTGAAAGCATGGCTGTGAGCATTACTGCATACGTTTCTTTTTCTTTATGTGTACTGAAAGGAAAGTGATGAATTTGTCTGTGAAAGACAAGAGCTCCATTCTTCCTTGAAACTAAGACCCTTTCATATTCCCACCTATTTTAAGACACTTCTACGCTTCCAGAGTAGAATGGTCCCATAATGGTGACTGTGTAGCCATGTGGACTACCATGTTTAACCTGCAAAATACAATTCCACATCTGGATTCTGCAGCAGGTAAAGGGCTCTGATGCCCCAGTCTTCAGACATTTACAGATGGTTTGAAATGTGGATGCAGATCCATCACTGAGTCAATACTTCACATCAATTCCATGTTTAGGTTGGATCTCTTAATAAACTGTCAATTCCAAAACTGGAAGAACAGTATGAAGAAAGGAGAAGCAATGAAAATGTGAACTGCTGAGTAAAAAAGTGGCTGCTTCCAAACCACTATTTTTTACTACCTGACACTCTTCTTTAATAGCGATGATGTTGCAGCTTTTTTCACTCATGAAAATAGAAGCATCAACAGCAGTGTCCAGCACTCAGGTTAATGTGCCAGCTACGCATGAATGGTGCACATTATAAATATACATTTAAGGTCCTTTCATGTATACCACAGCTAAATAACAGCTCTGACTCGCTGTTCTTCCACTACTGCATTGATGGAGTAGCCTGTAGTAAGCAAAGGCTGCAAAGAGGGCTGGAAATGGCAGTGCTAATGAGAGCAGCAGATGTCATTGCACTTTACTCCATTTCTGTTGCAGCTGGTTATAAATTCAGTTGGGAGATGCCAAAAATTCAGAGAAGTAAAACTCTCTTTTGTTCATTATCTCACCCAGGACTTGACATGTTCATATTGTCAGGCTCTGCATGATGGTAGCTTTGTCTCTTGTTGTTTCACTGAGACTTTGCTCTTTTTCAGGTGCCAGGAGACAACGAGAAGCACTGGAAGCCAGTGTTAGTAGTCTTAACAGAGAAAGACCTCTTAATATATGAGAGCATGCCGCGGATGAAGGAAGCTTGGTTCAGCCCTCTGCATACCTACCCCCTGCTAGCCACCAGGTATCTCTGCTTTTTTATTACAACCACTTCAAGAGTAGTGGGGACAGCTGAGACAGCCAGGAACAGGTATAGCTGCTGCACAGCTATATACCACACATGAAATGTTGTGGTGTGAGAAGCAGATTCATCAGTGGGCTGATGTGCTCAGCTTCTCCTCTGTTTCAAGTTCTGGCCGAGGCTGATGGCCAGAAGCACACCAGAAGGATTATGGATGTGGCCATTTGGCCTGGATTCAGTGGCAGGAGTGCTGAAAAAGCTGAGAACTTTATCTCCCAAGATTTCTATCTCAGTGTGCAGACCTGAGGGCTTAGCAGAAGCACTCAGATTTTCAGCTGTTCCTCCAGGCTGAAAAAAAGTGAAATTGTTGCCCTGAGTTGGACGTGCTGGTGTGACAGTTCGGCACCACTGGTTTGGGGCTTTTTGAGGATCACGCATGTGATGGAGAGAATTTTAGCACTGACCCTGTTCCTGCTCTAGCAAATTTGATTCCTTGCTTTTTTAGCTTAAAATGCTGAGCTTGGAAGACACATTCTTGAATCTAGGTTGGAAATAACCATCTGCATTATTTTGAAGGTATCCATTCAGAGAGAGCTTTCCTGTGGTTGTCTTTATGCAGTGGAAACTGTGCTTCTTGATGTGAATCTTAATCACATTTCTCTGCCAGTATGATCAGAGGGCTTAAGAAAGAGCTGTTGTTCCATTGTTTTGTCCTTGCTACAGGCCTCTGTTATACCATTTTCAGTGAGTTCTCATTCAGAAGGGCTGGTTGAACATGGCCAAAAGCAGTGAGTCTCTTAGAGCACTCTCATTAGTTAATTTTTGTTCTCGGTCTCTTAGTTCTCTCCTCAAATGAACTGAGGCTTTGCTGCTAAATCATTATATAAAATTGAACTTGGTGAATTACACTGGTGGTTGTTTTGTCCCAGTCTGCCTACCCATGGTGGAGCTTTCAGGCTTTGTGGGAAGCCAGCCTCTGACTCACCCTTTATTACTATAATGTGAGGCGAGAGCCCCAAGCTTTGCAGCTTGCAGCCTGTTACATGGTGTGGCAGTAAAGGTTGACAATTCCAGGTGACAATTCCTGATGAAAACTTGGTAAAGCACTGGAGCTGGAGGTTGTGTCCAGGTGTATCACTAAGCCTTAGAGTTTGTGAAGCAAGAGTAGCCCAGCAGAAGGTGATGCACCTCCTCCCTACTGCTTTGGGGTGTCATTTGTACATGGACCCAAGTCCTCCTCCTTAGAGTGCTGGGAGATCCTACAGTGCACCCTGTCCCTTCCTGCCCACATGTCATCATGTGTAAAGACACCCCTTTGGTGGGTATCACCAGCCCCTGTCATCAGTGGCCACAGATTTACTGTAGCAAACAATCCAAGTCCTCATCTTGGAGGGCTTGTTATTTAATTACTTTTTCTCAGGAGTTCATATTTGATAGCAGACTGGCTTGCCTTCGGTGGGGATAGTCATCTCCCTGTCCAGTGAGATTCCCATGTGAGTGGAGGAACATCAGCATTCAGGCTGGAGAGGAATGAGAAGTTGCTCAGCACAGACGTCAGGCGGCTGACAGACTGGGAAAATGGTCTGTAAAGGAAGACAGGATGTGGTTCATAAAGGATGAGTGCAAAGTTCAGTGCTGGGGAATAATCAACTGCACTCATTTGGGGTGGAAAATGAGCAAGGAAGTAGTTGATCTCCCAGGAAGCATCTGGGAAGTGTGGAAAAATTCCTTAAATCTATGGCATTATGTTTTTGAGAGGGGAAAATAAAGACAATCTTCTTGGGTTACAGCAGAAGTGTTGCATGTTGGGCAGTAGTAATCATACCTAACAACGGAGCATGAGTAAAGCCTCAGGTGATACACTGCCTTCATGTGAGGCATTGCACTTCCAAAAAGATGCCAGTTAACTGTGGAAGGTCTAGAAGAAAGCAACGCAAATGTAAGACCTAGAAAACACTATCAGTAGGGGAATACTTATCATAGAATCATGAATGGTTTGAGTTGGAAGGGACCTTAAAGATCATCTAGTTCCAGCCCCCCTGCCATGGGCAGGGACACCTCCCACCAGACCAGGTTGCTCAAAGCCCCGTCCAACCTGGCCTTGAACCCTTCCAGGGAGGGGGCAGCCACAGCTTCTCTGGGCACCCTGTGCCAGTGTCTCACTGCCCTCACAGTAAGGAATTTCTTCTTTATATCTAATCTAAATCTATCCTCTTTCAGTTTAAAACCGTTACGCCTTGTCTTATCACTACATTCCCTGGCAGAGTCCCTCCCCACCTTTCCTGTAGCCCCCTTTAAGCACTGGCAGGCCGCTATCAGGTCTCCCTGGAGCCTTCTCTTCTCCAGGCTGAACAACCCCAACTCTCTCAGCCTGTCCTCACAGGGGAGATGCTCCAGCCCCCTGATCATCTTCGTGGCCTCCTCTGGACCCGCTCAAGCAGGTCCATGTCCTTCTGATATTGGGAGCCCCACAGCTGGATGCAGCACTGCAGGTGGGGACTGATGAGGGCAGAGTAGAGGGGGAGAATCCCCTCCCTGGACCTGCTGGCCACGCTCCTCTTGATGCAGCCCAGGACACAGTTGGCTTTCTCAGCTGCAAGCGCACATTGCTGGCTCATAGTCAGTTTTCCATCCACTGATACCCCCAAGTCCTTCTCTGCATAACTGCCCCAACTCGTGCGGGAGCTTTTACTTGACCTTGTATGTGTCCTTGTTGTTACTTAAGAAAACTTAGTTGTTTAATCTAGAGAAGTCCATGGAAAACATGTCAATAGTTTTCAGGTATGATGATGAGACACGGGGAGTACAGGGGAACACATTCTCCAGGTCTCTCCTGGATACAACAGGACATAGTTTGCTGCATTTGTGTCAGGGGAGGTTCGGGGTAGGTCCTGGAAAAAACATGGTGTGCGGGTGAGGTACTAGATTAGATTCTCTAGTCAAGGTTTATGAGCCTCATCACTGGGGACTTTGAAAGACGGGTGACACTGTAAGCCTCAGGTGTGTGTCGGTACCGTTAGCCCTGCTCTGGGAAGGGGGGAGTGCCAGCTGACCTCCTGAGAACCATTCCTGCCTCATCTCTGTGCTTTCTTATTAATATTGCTGTGAATTTAAGACTCAGGTAAAAAGACAGCAGATATACAGAACCTGACATTCAGAATAGAATGGCAATCTGATATATACATCTAAATACATGCGTCTCCAAGGTGAGTAGATTACATAAATTGACAGATTCCCTAAATCATTACACCTACTGTTTTGAATGATTTTGATTAAAACCCTGCAGGATCCTGCTTTTATTGTCTGTCACGCTGAGTACAGTTATACCAAAAAATACACAGGGTTTGCTGTCGGTATTGACTGCTGTGCTCATGCTCGGGCAGTGATTACCCTCCTCGTGACAGTTTTTTAATCCCCTCTGTGCATTGATCAGTGGAATTTAGAACTTTTCACCTGGAAAGTTTGCAGACCACATGTTGTAATCTTGGCTGCTCCTATCTTTCAGATTTTTATGAGTCCTTGGGAAAACATTTTTGCTTAGCTAATGCATATTTGAAAAGCTGCTGAAACTGGAAAACTTCGATGCCAGATACTGTACAGAGTCATGCTTAATCTACCCAAGACATAATGAGCAGAGAAAATTGGAAAGTGGTAGAAGGATTACAATCTTCTTACAGTATTTTAACAGCAGAATTTCAACATGCCCTTTTTGTGTGTTGATAAGTTTGCCTTCAACCTATGGATCCTATTAAGACCTAAAAATATTTTCTAGTCAGTCTTTCTCAGCTTTGTATGGAATATAAGTAATAGCTCAAATAAAACTGAGATCAGGAGATTTAAGTTGTTCCTTTAAATCTCTGCACCGGGAGGCACAGCAGCTGGCTCACAGCCCTGACTCCAAGGACCTTTTTGTCATAATCTCTGTTTCAGTGTTTCCTTATGCCTGAATAACAGTGCCTCCCTCTAGCATGGGAATGGGGCTTAAGTAATTACATCTTAAATGTTTGCAATCAAATTCTGTTATCTATCATAGCCAGATATGAAATGAAAGAAAAAAAAATAAAAAGCAGGCTATGTTGGACTCTGATTAAAGATCAGGTAAGTAGCTTTTGTGTGAAGGTGAGGTCTGTAACAAGAAAGTATGAAAGCAGCTTGATAGCTAATGCCATGGAAAGTTGGGAAAGGAGTTTGGGCACTGGTTAGTCATCTGTGCAAGTGGGCAGAGGGGCGGGCAGAGACCACAGGGGACCCCGAGCACCCCAGGGACAGTGTACAAGGTGCTGCACAAGTTCTCCGCTTGTCTTCCTGGGGCGGTGAGAGTGGTTGTGGCTCCCTCCATACAGAGCTTGGATGAATTGAGAGCATGTGCAGAGCAGGTTTCAAATGCTAAGTCAGGGTAAGGACTGGCTTCAACATAAGAAAGGTCACACGATAGTGGCTTTCTACTGGGCAGAGCTGCATGGCTGTTGATGCACTTGTGTTAAGTCTCTTCTGAGCTAAACCTCAGGTGAGCAGCTGAACGCTTGCTTTGAATGTCAGTGCTGGTTTTACTGTCATTTTCGAAGAGGCCATTAGGATTCGGTGTTGCAGTAAATAGTTGAAACTCTTCTCATAGCATTAGGATGAGAAGCAGGTCCCAGTGCATCTCACCCAGCACCAGCACTTCATGTTGGAACATTCCCATCTTGCTATCACACATTTGCAAAGAATAGTGCTAAAACGGTCCCCAAAACATAGAGACACAAGGGAGAAATTAGAGAAGATTAGCAGTGTCTCCCTGGCTCCCTGGAGCATGCCAGGAGTTGCATTTTTACAGCCACTGCCTGTTATCTGTGCACTGTGCAAACAGACTTGATGGTGACCAACCTTCTCCTGCCCTCTTGCGGCTCTGGCTGCTTGAGGGAAGCGTGCTCAGGCTCCTGCATGCTCACAGACATCTCAGAAACCTGCACCGAGCCAAGTAACCTTCAGGGATTGCAGGTGAATTTTACCAGAGCTGCCCCTGGGGTGCCTTTTCAGCATGGGGGTGCAGCATGCACCATGCATACAATCTCTGCTGTGGTCGGAGTGACAGGAGGTGAGGGTGAGGGGAAGCCTTCTGTGAAGTTTCTAAGACTGTATTTTGCCTTTTAAGGTATTTTTGTGATCTTTAGGATAACATATCTTTCATGTAAATGGAACAGCTCACACGAACGCTACTTTATTAAAGCTTAAGAATCCTTTGACCTGTACCCAAATACATCAGTACTGACAGCTGGTACATAAATAATATCAAATGTTTCCCTGCATATTTTCCAAAGTACAGTCTGGAGTTGTATGATAGAGAAGGATTTTTAAATAGTGAGACTGGATTTTTAATAATGAGGGGATAATGCAAATGAGAAGGCAGGCAAGAAACAATGTTCATGTTGGATGCATCCACATACTTTAATTTGTAAAGTATATCTTCATTCTAACCATATGCTGAAAAACCTACAATGCCGGTGCTATGGATAAAGCCTGAAGATGAAGGGGAGCAGGGGAGTGGATTTGAAAGGAAATAAACCATTGGGACCATCTGTCTGTCACACGTTCAGTACCACAAGTATTAAGAAACAATCTTTAGCACAGCTGAGGAGCACTGTATAAAAGACATGACCCAGAGAGAAGCTGGAATAGTTTATTTTTGATGACAAACTTGATGTGATTTTCCAGGCTGCTTTCCCGCAGTCGCCCCTGGCAGCAGAAGGCAGCACGAGAGCGGTGGCTGTGCCTGTGCCTGGGTGACTGGCCGGGGACAGGCAGCAGCAGAAGTCACCAGAGATTTCAGTTCCTGGTCTCCTGTCTTAATTATCAATATGCAGCTTTCCCTCAGAGTTTGAACCTCCTCACACCAAATGAAAGTGAATTCAAGTTTTTGGGCTGTTTGCTGCTTACTCCCTGACTAAAAAAATCTGCCAGGGGTGCAGTCAGGAGGCCTTGAGTATCAAAGCTGAGCAGGGTATTAATGCAGCCCTTCTAGAGGCAAAAAAAAGCATTTGAGGAGCGTGGTGGTGCCTTTCTGGAAGAGATTTTCCTGCCCAGACACAGGGCAGGGCAGCTCTGACCGGGGTACTCTGCATCTCGCTTCCTGGGACCTCCTGGGACCATGGAATCAAGGCAGATGCTCAAAATCCAAAGAAAGTTACCACGAACCTGAGCATGAACAAATCTTTCAAACCTTCTAGCAGGGTATGAAGGAGGGATGCATCTGTTTGGCACAGTGCGCATCCCAAATGTCAGCACGGACTGCCAGGGAATTGGAGGAAATTTCAGATGCCCTATGGTTAGTGTTTCAATAACTGAACAGCTAAAGCTGTGCTTTTTCTTTACTTTCTGCTTTCTTTGTTCCTATTAAAACATCTCTGTTTGATGGCATACTTCTACAGTGTCAGCTAACAGACAACTATTCTCCCAGATGCAAAACAATAATTTGAGGGTGAATTAGCATTCAGTAGATGATTAGTATAATCTAATGTTTTATCCTTCAGCACAAGTATTCTACTACCATGTTACATACTTACTTTATAGTCTCATATGCAGTGTATTGTTTGACTATAGAAAGGGAAACAGAAGACACAAGACAGAAAAAAGCTTTTCAGAAAAATACAATTTTGTGACTCTCTCTGAGGGCTGGTCTCTGAATCTCAAAGAGTCATGAGCTCCTCTGAACCAGTGTCACGTCTGTCCTGGTTGGGGCTGGACTAGAGTTCCCGTTGGTCTGGCAGCGGGAGGAGCTGCAGCCCCCTGACACCCCAGGGGTTGCCCAGGGCCCAGTGCCCTCACCTGTGTGCGGGGGCGGGGGGAGCACAGCTGGAGGGCTGGGCCCCGATTGGCTGATAGTCCATGTCACGTGACATTGTGCTCACTATATAAAGGCAGGAGAGGGCTGGGAGGGGCTGCCACTTGTTGGAGTGTGGCTGTGGGGCCTTGGTGTTTGGGATTGCCAGCTGGGAGCAGGTGAGTGTCGGTCGGTGGATGGTGAGCAGCTGTATTGTACATTACCTGTTGATACTGCTGTCAGCGTATTATTCTGTTACTGTTATTCAACTGTTTTTATCTCAACCCGCGAGTCTCCCTTTGCCCCTCCGATTCCCTCCCCGTTCCCAAGTGGGGGGAGGGTGGGTGAGCGACTGCGTGGCATTTAGCTGCTGAGTAGGCTCAAACCACAACAGTGTCCCTCAGTGAATTCTGTATTTGCTGTCCACACTTCTTCAGGGAACAAAAAAAAAAATGCACCTAAAAGGGCAGTCTCAAGGAAGAATTAAATATTGTGAGTTGCTGATTTTCTCACTCAGAAATATTCCCTGCCATTAGTGTTTGCCCAGATGAATAAACCTTTCCTGGTCACAGATCAGCTGTTGATGCCAGGCAAAAAAATGTTAATTGCAGCAAAATGTGAGAGAATTTCAGATTGCAAGTAGCTGCACCATTTTGCATTTTATGGGTTCCTTATGGGACAAGTAGGCACAAGACAGTACTTTGGCATCTGTGTATTTTACAGAACTTCTACTTTATCCGACAGCAGTTATTGTTGAGTTTGTCTGCAGATGTTTAAGCTTTATGGCAAATGCTGCTTGAGTGTGAAAGTTGGGTTCAGCAGCCTCACCTGCACGAGCGCTTGTATCTGTGCACCAAACCCCATCACCACAGACCAGTCGGTGATTTCTCTCGGTCCCTCATCCAAAGCAACTCATTAGGAAATTTTGGGATGTTCCCATCATTGCCTGCATGTCTGGCTGCTTCTGTACTCGCTCTCCTGGACCTTCAGTCTTCTGAGTGTCACAAGGAGTCACTTTAGGCTCAAATACAGAGGAGATGTAAGGTCTTGAGCTCCCAGCCACATGCATTTAGGAACGTATAAAGCAGAGCTGTGCGCAGGTAGGGATTTTGGCACAGTATGCTGTGTCAGCGTTCCAATCCATTGTATTTTCAAACCCCTTTGCAGGTTGGTCCATTCTGGCCCAGGAAAAGGCTCACCACAGTCAGGGGTGGATTTGTCTTTTGCAACCCGTACCGGTACAAGGCAAGGGATTGAAACCCATCTGTTCAGGACGGAGACAAGCCGAGACCTCTCACTGTGGACGAGGAGCGTAGTGCAGGGCTGCCACAATTCTGCGGAGCTCATCACAGAAATCACCACATGTGAGTAGCACCTGCAGCACCCCTCTCCATACCTCCTCGTGACACTCGCGTGTAGTTCAAACTCCTTCTGCTAGAGGTCATTCATTTAAAAAAATACATATTTAGGTTTCTGTGTGTTTAAAATATTGTCCCCTTGGTTTCTGAGCCAGTCCCATCTGGTGTGGTACTGTGGCCAGTGACACAATCACTGTCACTCTGACTTTTGATCTTGATTTCAGCATGTTGTTTCAGACACAAGTCTGTAGTCAGCCATATAGGGCTGCATGTCACGGAGGAATGATCATCAGAGGTTTTTTTCAGAAACCCACAGAAAAGAGCATTTTTTCTGAGATGCAGGTGACTCCTGAGAGCCTGGCAGGAGTTTCTCCTGCAGAGGGAGGAGGCAGAGGAGGACTGGCACAGTCACAAGCATGAATTGGTCATTTATTCACCCAGAGAAGAGTGAAAAAATACAAACCACTCCAATAGCCACATTTTGACGGCTAGTCATTTCCCTTCTGAACATCAGGGTGTCACTTCTCAGCACTTCTGTACATGCAGAATCGACTGGAATAAAAGTAATATCGGCTGCAGATGCTCTGGAGTGATGCCCTGCTCGGCCGGATGGCTGATAGCCTGGGTTGGCTCTGGGGCTTTGAAGCTGTGCCTTTCTCTTGAGTGCCCCCAGGATTTGGGAGTCCTTCCCCTGCTAGCCCTGCAGTTGGCAGGCCTGTTAAAGTTGAACATCATCTCCCCCCATAGCCTAAAAATGTGAGAGCGAGAGCCAAAGCACAAATCCGCTCCAGGACGAAGGGCGCCTCTGATTTCATGAGGGCGGCCTCTGACATGGAAACCACCTCGAGGGCCTGTCCGTCTCCTCAGCCCAGTGACATGGATGCTTTTCTTTCCAAAGGCAGGTGGAGAACATCAGCTCCTTTTTTATCACAGTGCTTTTATCCCAGTGCCAGGGACCCTTTGTGGCAGAATTATTTGCAGGAAAGGTGGTGGAAAAGAGAATCGGGGATGTGAACACCTAAACTCTTAATTTTTTAATTTGGATCATGGCCTTTGTTTCTGAGCTGAGGGGAGGATGCAGACTTTCTGCTGCAGTAGCTATTATATACGATTATCTGGGCCCTTTTTCAATTTCCACAACACTAATGAGGACTTTGGAGCATCTTCATCTTTGTCAAAATACTTTGGGGAAACCCTTTACAGCTTTTAATTTTCTTGTGCATTGTGCATCGTGTTTATTGATTTTGGCTATGTCTGTCAGATGTAAGAAAAGTAGCTGTGATTTTGTCAAAGTTTAGAAGGGGGAAATGCCAGCCTGAGCCTTTTTAAACTTCAATAGATTGGTTTTGTGTCAGCATGCAGATAGATGCTGCAACATAAAGAATGTAGTATCCACTGCTGAATTCACCACCGAAAGAACTGCCATCAGTACTGGTAGCTACAGTTTACACCGTTACTAACAAACCTTGCTTGGACTTTGCACTGAACAGAAAGATTTCTGTTGGTTTCCCAAATCTGCAGATTTACACTTAGAGCATGATTAGCCCAGTTTTAGGAAAGGGTAATTTCTGCAAGGTAGCGTTGATATTGAATGTAAAATGCAGCTATCTGCAGCCAATGGAATTTGTTGCTTTTAAGAATGTGACAGACTAAATCCTGTTTCCTTCTTCAGCTTGCACATATAAAAGCCAGGAGTGCCGTTTGACCATCCATTACGAACATGGATTCTCTCTTACAACTGAACCGCAAGATGGTGCCTTCTCTAAGACAATTGCACAATATCCCTACGAAAAACTGAAAATGTCCTCAGATGATGGGATAAGGATGCTTTATTTAGACTTCGGAGGAAAGGATGGAGAAATTGTAAGTACTGCGTTTAGCAGAGATGCATGTTACCATCTCTTTGGTGGTCCTTCATGCTGTGGGGTTAGAGAAGCATTAATGGAAGTTGGACTAGATGATTGTTACAGGTCCCTTCCAACTGAAATATTCTTCTCTGTTCTATTCTATTAGCAGCTGGTCAGTACCGGGTTCTAGTACCAGTATTTGGGCACAGTGCTTTCTAGTACAGCATGACGATCTGGTTTTAGAAGGAGATAAACTAAAAAGAGAGACAAAATGGTAAAACCATGTCAAGAGGGATGAAAGATTTCTTACATTTAAGAACAAATAATATCAATATCTAAATAGCCAGATGTTATAATTTTTGTATGTATCCATTTCATTTTTCAAATGACTGCGGGTGGAAGAATTTAAGAATGAGATATTCTTAATTCCAGCATACACATAGGGACTTTATGTTATGACAAGCTATGGTTTAGACATTTTTGAACATCTAGTTGCTGAAAAAAACTGACAACACCAGATGTTGCTCAAACTGTCTGCTTAGGCCTCTAAGTTAGCAGTCACAGTGCCTAAAAACAAGGTGCTCATTCCTATGAGCAGTTTAGATACCATAAATTATGCATCTAAACATGGTGTTTCCTGTCAAATGTTTTCAGCAGCTCCCGAGCACGTTGGGTGCTTAATTCTTCACATCACCTTTGATAACATATACCCTGCAAACCACTTGTTGCCAGGCTTTCAGAAGGGAATTTACTTGCTCTCAGTAAAGTTGATGTGTGACTGGTGGAAAGGCATGTCTGGTTTGTTTTGATGTGAACCTACTGTTGAACGTGCTGTCCACACTGACAACTCTGTCACGCTTAGCAAGCATGTGGCGAGATCATCTGGACAGTGACGATCAGAAAAAAAGTCTCAGTTCAGTGTCACTGCTGGCTGTGTGAACAGAGGAACAACCGTGCAGCATCAGCTGAAGGTGCGGTGTCCTGGCCTCAGCTGTGAGCAGCAGTGGATGTGCTTGGGTACTGGACAGCAGCCCCATCACCATCCCTGGTCAGAAACAGCCCGAAAAGATGGAGGGGCTGAAGCTCTTGGAAAACATCTTGCAGCATCTGACTCAATTTTCTGCTGTTTACCAAGGTGGATGCAAGCCCAGAGGCACCAGCTCTCGAGATGCTTATTATTTACTTTTAGTAAACTAAATATTTGCAGCTGTATGCAAAGAAAAGACACTATTTTGTAATAAAAGGTTGTTATTGATAGAAGGCTGTTGAAAATAACAAGCAGCAGTTAATCAAGTACTCCAGAAGGGATGAGTTGAACTGTAACCTATTCTAATAATTCTCAACTTGATTTCTTTCTGTACTTTCAGCAACTGGACCTTCATTCCTGCCCAAAACCAATTGTGTTCATCATTCATTCCTTCCTATCAGCAAAGATTACAAGACTTGGCTTGGTGGCCTAAGTGGGATACATCTGTTTCTTCAAAGAAAGACAGAGTGACCACAATCTGAAGTACAGTCGACATCAGCAACCTGTGCCAGCTAGCAGCATTCACCAGCTTGGGCTTCAGTACTGGGCCTTGCTCATTTCTGCAGTCTTCCAAGGCTGAGGTTTCATTTTCATCGACTAAAGAGGTGGCATGACAAGGAAAACGGTGGATTTCACTGTAAATAATGGGGTTTTAAAATCCCGTATCAGACAGTAAAAGCGTGTAGTACCATACGTGTAAATGTTTCAGAATCATAAATTGTGCCTATTTCAATGTACTTGTTTATATCGAGTAAGTAAAGGGCTAAGCAGACAAGAGTGGGTATTGGTTGTGATGCAAACTCAGTGCTGTTTGAGTAGAAGTTCTCCAGGCAAGATTGTCCCACCATCCAAAAGTAAAATATTTTTTTCTGTCCTAACCTGTGTGCCACTTCCAGCAGATTTTTCTTTTGGGGCGCTATCAGAACCTGTTGCTTGAATAAGCAGCAGAGCGTGCAGATGCGCACCTTTGAGTAGGATGCTCTAAAGCAATACAGCTGTGGTCAGCAAACAGCTGGAGAGTCCCTGCCAAGGGGCACTTTCGGATTAAATGATAAGACATCTTGCGTCCGTTCCTGGTGATGGACCCAAAGCGAGACTAGCTAGAGCCATGCACTGGGAGCCAGCTGTCAGGGGGGTGGAGGCAGGAGCATCCTCACGTTACCTGAATCCACACTGAAGTGTGACCTAAGCTTCTGCCAGCGTGCTTCCACAGCAGTTTTCCAGCAGAAAGCTGGGCTGAGCTTCATGTCCTTCTTACCCCAACTGTGTCACCCCCTCAGCTCCGCTGAGGCTGGTTGTGTGGTCTTGGTAGAAGAACAAATGTGAGGAAGGAGGAAGACTTGATTTTTTTTTTTTTTTTTTTTTTTTTGAGTTTTCTAGATTAGATCAGAAGTTATTCAAGCAGCTCCACGAGTGAGGAAATGCACTGGGGAAGGAACACAAGCTGCACTGCCAGAAAAGCCTTAATATGGAAGGAACTGCTCCTACGAGCAGGACTTGGCAAGTCCAGATTTATTCCTTCTTGGTGAAATGTAAGATGTTCACCTCTGCACCCATAACTTCCTAGTTCCTGGTTTGCACCGCAGCTGACTGTTTTAAGTCAAAACACTCGGACCACTGAGTTTTGGCCTTGCCAGCAGTTGCAGTGGGCACTAAGCAGGCCGCAGGCAGGAACGCTGACCGTCGTCGTCAGAGATCATACACACAGCTTGCACCTGGAACTACTACACTGGTTTAATGTGGCTGGGTGGGAACAGAAGGAAGCAGAACACAGATGGCATTTATGGTGCCCTTACTTTGTAAACAGAACTCCTTCATATAGGGGTGGATTTGTGTTTGCTTTTAGAGTTTTGCCCTAAAAAAAAAAAAAAAAAATAGTCACACTTTGAAGGACAGGAACTGTACAGGGATAATAAATTGGAAGTTTGTAGAAGTTTGCTCGTCATACTACAATGCTTCTTTTATTCTTGAGAAAGCACATGTTTCAACTTAATGTGACTTAGCTGGCAAAGAGGAAAAGTAAAAACACAGTTGAGTTCCACATTGTTTTAAGCTAAGTCTTGACTGGTAAGTGTAAATCGTGCTGCTTATTCACAGAATTAGTTTGTGGCAGTTTCCATAGATATTGAAACTAATTAAAAAATTAAGATGATGGGCTGAAATCACAAATACTGAAAATGTTTATTGAAGAACAATAGCTAAATTGCCATTTGGAAGAGCAGCCCCACTCCTGGCACCTCCCACCAGTCAAAAGCAAGCCTGGGAGAGGATTCACCTAGCTGTGAACTTTGTTTTTCCTGTCATGGTACTTGCACTTAAAAATGAATTCCTCGTGTAAATTCACAAGGTAGGAGATAGCAGGTTAGATACCTTGCCAACCATTTCCAAATGGACATTTCTCATGTCGTGAGCGCTGCCGTTCACGTAACGTTCTGTGGCAGTTACTTGGGTCTCCTTTGGCTTGGAGCTTCTAGGAGAACCTCTTCTGAGAAGCTGAGGGCAGTCGGTACGCTGGGGGACTGGGTCTTTGAGTATGAACTCACATCACATCGTCACGTAAACCGTTGTGTGAAGTTTCTAAAAAGTGATTCAGGACACTTTTATCACTGTTCCAAAGTATAACGTAAAAACCTGGACGCAGGCTCCTATAAAAGTTCCAGAGGTTAAAGTGAAAACTTGCATACTGTGGGGTAGGTTAAATACATATGTAAACTATACTGCACTATTTCCTTATTCCTTTAACACTTACAAATCACTGGAATGTTATACTTAACATGTATGTGCATTGTAAATATTAAAAATTCCTATATTAGTACCAACAATTAAATGACACAATATGTAATCTAAGGTGCTCAGTACTATATGAAGTATAAGTGAATAACTAAACGGTTTGCAAAGAAAATTCATATTATATATATTTATAGAAAAAATAATGATAATTACAGAAGCTATTTCTTCACTTTCAGATTTTGGACTGATTCATATTTGGATGGGATAGACAAATGAAATATGGACCTACTCCACATTTATAAGAATATAGTGAATATTTATATTTTAGAGGAAAAAAATATATTTAATAAAGTCATTTATTGGATTTTTGTGAGGCGAGCTTACTTTGTACCCAGACAAGCTGTTTGGAAGACCCTCCTTTGGTTTTGTGGTGGGGAAAAATGCATTTTAAACCTCAGTCATTCTGTTACAAATTCAGTTAATTGGGAGAACTATTCATCATACTGACGGAATGGCTTTTAAAATAAAATTTTTACAAAGTATTAATGCACTGTCAGTGGCACGTCGGCGCTTTCTATCAAGTGAGCTCAGTGTTCCTGTGATAGCGGCGCTGGTGATGCCAGGCTGAAAGCATAACTATGCAGCATTTTTTTTGCTGCTGGCACTTACTGAAAGGGCAAAGGGATGTTCTGGGCAAGGTTGTGCAGGCTCACCTGCGGAAGTTACAGTGATTTCTCTCTTGCTTACGTTTAACTGGGCACTTACAGAAGTCATAAAAAACCAGAACAGAAACTTCTGCTCAAGCTTCTGCATTCAAGGAGCGAGGCCAACATGTGCCTTGCTTAGTTCTTGCAAAGTTAGAGTAAAAAAGATGGTTTTCTCCCCTCCTACTTTAATTCTTAACGTAGTGGCCCAAATAGAAAAGCTAAGGGCGGTCTGTTCTTTCAGTCTGACCCAAGGTATGGCAGACCAGCCTCGTGGAAATCCGAAAAAAGGGGCATTCTAGAGTTTCATTCTTTTCACAAAATACTGACTGTAAATTGAACGGTCTGATCAGAAAGTCTGTATAGCAGCTTCACTGTTAGAAAGATTTGGACACATTGGAACATATATATATGTTACTGGAAAAATGTGATATAAGGTGTTTGTTAAAAAAAATAAAAGAAAATAAAGCTGATCTGATGGTGTTCAGGGAAGCATACTGGTGTTTCCTAAGAGTTTTGCTCTTTAAGTGGAAATAGCATCTCTCTTAAGGTACTTTATAAATCAGAACATAACCCTTTATGCACTACCAAGGAAATCATTACCATGACCAGCATTAGATTTGGTCTTTTCCAAGTAACAAAATAAGTGTTTTCTCTTCGTGTGGAAGGTAAGTATTCCTTCTGCCCACACGGGACATGGGAGCACACCCCACCCAGCTCTTCACATGCGGAAGCGCAGCCGATTTGAAGTAGAGGTTGATCTGATTTCCATCTGCAAGACCTCTCAATGTCTTCTTACTCGTGTTTAAAAGAGAATTGGAAGTGGAAGCAGAATCAGAGCCTAAACAGATGATGTGCTCCAGATTGTTATACCATCATCAATTTGTAAATTTACGTTCTTTTTTGTAAGAGTCAAACCGGCAAGTTTATAACGAGCTGTTTACTGGGGCTATTTACTAAATATATATATAATATATACTATAATGATAGTGTGTATATTACTATATGTATACACACACGTATTACTGTATATACTATTAATATAAAGCAATTGGGAATTGTATCTAAACTGGACACTTCTGAATTCAGTGCTGACTTTGATTTTGAGGAGCAGATATTAGTCATATACTATCAAAATTTTGCGAAACTCAGCCTGCTTGATAGAAGTGAATCCCTAGATTAGCCAGGGCAAAAGTTTTGTTTAAAAGCACGAAGGGAAAAATGCTAAATATTTAAGTAACACAGAAAACAACCTCTTGTGAACATGTTAGCTACTTTTTCCACATAGAATTAGGTTTTCACTTTGTTTTCTTCGTCAGAATTTCTGTGCTCGTTTAAGTAATGGGATGCATTAGAATACAACTCCTGAGGGAGAACTGGAGAGTTTGTGAATTTGGAAAAACATTTGTAGACAAGTTAAATTGCACTGCAGCCCAGTGATATTCTCCATGCAATTTCTGTAATACTAGAATAATCATCTCACCAAATAACTGCAACCACACCAGTGTTGTCTTACCCCAATCTTGTACAAGGGCATAACATGGATTGTGGGTAGACCATAAAATGTATATTGGTGAATAAGACTTATACCCTCTGACTTGCAAAAAAAAGAAAGCGAACGCCCGAGCCTTCTACAGTATAGTATGCGTAGGGCAGACTGCAATTTGGGTTCACCAGCCACAAAAAAAGAAAATAATTTGAAGGTTGAGGCAAAGAGTGACGTTACATTCTGTATCGCATAAGTTACAACATGTTAGCTGAGCTATGGGAACCCTTAGTGTGGGGTTTTTGAACTACAACAGATGTAGGATAATTTCCTTTAGTGCTGCTACAGTAGACCAGGTCAAATTATTTTGCATGGTATTTGTAGGTTAAGAGCACACACAAGGACAGTTATCACAGCTCAAACGGTGCACAGTGCCATTAAGCCATGATAATAAACCAGCAATCATGCTTCCTAAAAAGAAAACCCCAACATAATAACAAAATGCAAATGAGACATGGGCAGCACTGTATTAGTTCAGCACTGGGAATCACGCAAACAAACAGTACATCAAAATGCTTATGTTTCCCTAACTGCTTTCCTGCTGATTATTTCAGCCCAGCCTTTGAGCCTACAGAATTAATTAAAACAATAACCATTGGGTTCTATTTGCTCATGAAGTAAGATAGTTAGCATGGACTTGCTATGGATACCATAGAGAGGTAAAGGAGGAATGAGAAAATAATAAAAAAACCAAAACAATTTAAAACCCCACCTTTTTATAGAAGCCCTTCTACAGTTACGTGCAGATGGTTTTTCATTAAGGAAGACAGTTAAAGATTATTAATTAATTTCTGGAGGAGGATTTTCTTTGCTCATGGCAGCAAGCCGCAATTATTTTACAAAATGTAGCTTCTGTACTTTTGCTTATCAAGTTATGCATAATTTGTTAACTACAATTTTTTTTTTTTGTAATTACAAGTATATAAACTCCCCCAAATTTAAGTAGGAAATTCAGCTTACAGTGGCTTGCTTTGGTATTTGGACAATAGCGTGTCAGCATCCAGGCTGAAGAGATAAGATTATAAATTAAGGCTTTTCTCTCTCTATTTGGAAGTAGATTTTTACTTTCTTTATTCAATAATGGATGTTAAGGAAGATAACATCTTGATTGATTTATTGTTTTATCGGCAAAGCATTTAGCACATTATAAGTGTTTATGTAATTTAAAGTGTTTGGCTCTACTAGTATTCATACAATCATGAAGAAACAATTTCTGTCACGAATGCAAAGAAATTTGAGCTGTACACAGGAATCAATACATTGGAGCAATTTCGTGCACGCACTTATTAAGTAATTCTTTAATTATCTACCTTCATTGTGTTTCTATTTCACCAAATCAGTAGAACCCTTTAAGTTACTAGCCTGGGCACTATGAGTGTGTGGCATTTTGCAGACAAATGCAGTCCTGCTCCAAAGCAGTTGTGTTTGCCCTGGGCTAAGATGTGCACTGGACTCACTGGAGCCCCTTGTCTCAGTGAACAGCTACGTAGCTTCCCCACTGCCCCTCAGATTGCAGCTCAGGAGAACACACCCGCATAGAAAAGGTCTTGCAGAGTTCAGGAGAATAATACTCACTGGAACAAAGGAGCAGAAGAGTTAAATGCAAGATCCTGTAGACACGAAAAACCTCCTTAGGCCTTGGCTTTACAAAAAACAGAATTAAGCAAAGAATAAATGTCACAAAACCACAAAGGCTCTTCAGAGAATGAGTAGATTTCACAGTATGAAGTCTAACCTCCACATGGTTTAGTTAAATGACTTTTTCATAATATTACATTTTCTTTATATTATTATTGCTTAATCCATTTCCCTACCAGGAGAATATAGCAAACAATAACACTGCATCTCTATGTTGGTTTATATGAAGAATAGGAAATCCTTACACTGAAACCTGTAAAATATATTTGTTTTGGTAGGAACTCCTCACCCGAACATAATACTAACCTGAATAATTACACTAGTAATATAAAAATACACAAGCCAGGTATTCTTCTGTGCTTGCAACTCAGTCAGAAATTATTATTTCCCTTCCATCATAGCATGCCAGCTGTTTCACAGCTCTCACCAGCACCATTACTGCTATCAGTTTGATTTTCTCCGCCCCCATGAAAAGAAACTCAGAACTCTGTTACGCATTGTTTCTAAGGAGTGTTACAAAGACTACACATTAAATTATAACAGAAATTCAGCTTGTAAAACGTCGATCCTTTCTTTAATGGGACCTTGCATCAAGTTTCAAAAGACATGCTTTTTATTTTTTTCTTATACTACAACAGAGAGATAATTTTGACTCAAATTCTAATTATGTTTGCTTTCACTTGCAGAATAGGAACTGTTCTTAATTATTCTATAAGCTGTTGACGCTGTAAGCAGCTGTTTATACAACGGCAAGTAGTAAATAGAATAGAGGTCTTCACACAAAAAGGTAACACAAGTAGTTTTGTTATTAAAATTAAATCTGGTGGGTTTTTTATTCGCATAAAACCCAAACATACGGGTTGAAAAACATACATAGCTTTATCAAACCACGTCAAGCTATATTACTTTTAACAATGAAACATAATAAATATGCATATAAAATAAATCCTTCTTACACTTGAATTTTTTTAAAGAATTAAAACTTTCAGTATAAAAAGTTTCAAACTATGTTACTGTGCTTGAGAATTGTGTCTATATAATTACACTGACCAAAGTCCTTCTGGTCTGTAGATACCTTTGTGCATGTCGGGTAGTATAATGCCTTTCTTACAATCAATCAGAAGTGCTCTGTCCACAGTTTCTAGGAAGGTGTGAATAACATCCATTCAGTACCTCTACTTGCCAGTCTTCTCCAAAACCCATTCAATCACCTGGGAAAATAAATGAGAAAACAAGCCATTTAAATAACTCCAGTTCTTGAAAGCAACTTAAGAACACCTCATACACTTTATCAATTCTTTCCGCATCACAGTCTTTATCATCACCTGTGTGGGGTTTAGGGAACAGGATTTAAAAGTAATCCAGGAGAGCTGTTAATAAACTCAGATGATACAATGTTACCCAAGAACTGTATTTAACAGAATGCCTTGTCTTTAGAAAAAAACATTTTTAGATCCCCTGAATTGAGCTCCTTCACCCCAGTTTCTCCATGTACTAGCAACAAGGTGCACACCCGGGGCTAAACAGCTAGAGCTTCCAGCACAAAAATTCCTAAAGCTGTAAAAGAAAGGATAAAGAATAATCTGTGCACTGCTGTATCTGCCACCATTATCACTGCTATTTCCCAAACAGGATAGTTGGTCAGACCACTCTAGTCCTGGGCAACTATATTTTTTATAAGGTAGTTTCAAAGTAATCTCTAATACAGGAAGAGGTGGCCCGCTTAAGAGATCCCCAACAGCAAACGTACACAAAGACACCAACTGGCCCCCCAGACAAAGATGGTGGTGAGAAACAGTGTGCCGGCACAATATCCCCATTCACCGCCAAGCGTCACAGCCCGTGTAATTTTTGAAACCTTATGCTCTAGGAAGCAATTCACAAGGGAACATGGTACAGAACACCACAAACACTGCTCTCACAGAATAAACTCTGTGGGGATCTAGCAGTTTTCCTTCAGAGTCCGGGTTTTCTTATTTAACTACCGCAGTCCAAATCCTTCCATTTAATTTATGATTTTGAAAACTGTACTGTAAATACACACAATACTTCTTAGTGGTTTATTTTTTTTAAAAAAAAAGAAACAAAAAAACATGGAGTCACTTCATGTTTTTCAGAATTTAAATCAGTTACCTAATTTCTGGAGGACAGGACTATTTACTCCTGTCATTTGCTGTGTGTTACTGTTCACATAAGTCCCACGTTACACACAAATAAGTTCATCTGATATCCCTTGTGCTTACAGTTATTCCCACACTTAAAATTACTAATATTCATTGCTTCTTTTAAGAAATTGATTTCCCCTTGT